AGACATCTTAGCTATGCCTTGAAATACGCTGGACTAAGATGTCTGATACTTCTTTAGGTATCTGTTGGAGCCACTTCTCCAGTGTGATGGTTACTGCCTCCAATGCTTAAATAATAACGATCACTACAGTTGCCTTCACCTTCCAAGCTCTGTCTACTGTAGTTCTTCCCTGAGCCATTGCTATTCTTCTAATTTCTCGTGTTCTTATTTCCTGATGTTTCCATCATTTGGGATGGACTCATCAATCACTGTTTGAACTGGGAGGGTCTTCTGTTTGTACTCTGCACAGATGTTTCTGTACACTATACCAGCCACTTGGTTATGGTGCTCCATGTTTTCCTTTTCTGCCAGTATTTTACAACTTTCTGTGAGATGGTAGATTGTTTCTCTTTGCAAAGCCTGTATCTGAGATCTTGACTGGTAGATCTGCACCTCTACTGCTCTGGTAGTTAAGCCAGGCTCCTGTGCTGCCATGATCAGTGCCTCTGTGCTATGCTTCAGCCCGGCCCTCTCTAGCCATTGGTAGAATTTGGTCATATAGCCACTTCAGCTATCTGTAGGTGGTACAACCCCATGAAAGTTTTTTTTTCCTCTCATGATGGTTTCGCCAGTTCCTTCTCTTCCATCTACCATTGTCTGTGACATTCACTAAGCTTCATTCCGTTGGGCCATCTTCCTACTGTATTCATGGATCTTTTATATTTCAACTTGAATGGTGGCTCGGATGCTCTCTAGACCTTTGCCTCCTTCTTTGCACTTAGTGATAGTGTGTGGAAACTGGATTTTCAATGGAATCCACCATGCATGGTGAGTAGCTTTTGTGTTTGAAACATCAGTGGCTTGAATATCTTCCTATGGTCACTTTAGTAACCCAGCAAGTTATCTGATTACTGGCAAAATATAGCTCTAAACTGCCTGGACCTTATTCTGTCAATTAGCTGATTTCTCATCTCAGAGCCCTTGCGTACCATGTCTTAAACCAATTGCAGTACGGCCTTTCTAATGAAGTTACAGTAAGTTGAGTGAGTGAGAAGACGGATGACATCAGGAAGACAAGGGGAACATGACAAGTACCTTACAAATACCACATCCCTTGCTGAGATCCTGGCAGCACAGATTCTATCTGTCTATCTGATGACGCATATGCTCTAGCTAAACACCATACTGCATGTGTCAATAAGCAGATGCACTCACAATACAAGTGTCGATAGTTTGCCAAATATGTAAAGCCTACAGGTCAGTCGCTCTTGATGCCAGACAGCTCTGGAATGTCTAATGAAGAATTTAGTCTTCAAGGGTCATATGACTGGTTTGTATCAAATAGGACTGGTTTTTATCAAGAATTATTTCAGAGGTCTGGTTTTATTTCAGCCACTAAGGACATCTTTATGAGCTGAATGAGTTCAGCCTTCAAAACTATACATGCTAATTTTGCCAATCAAAACACATAAAGTTACAGAAACAGGGAAAACAACCCCACCTACAGAGCATCAGGGTCCACTGCCAAGTAATAATAACGTAGCCACAGCATTCTTAAACTGAGGCATCGGTCTTCTCTGCAGCAATCAAGGCAATTATTAACCCACAGGATGTTCCCAGTTTAAAGACCTTTTTTTTTTTTTTACAATTCATAAGCTGCTTAGAGCCAAACCATACACAAAAGCTTCTAGTAACAGGCTATTCTAGTCCAAATATTTTGAGAAAGTTTTATTACTAACCCTGCAAAAAAAGGGCTTCTGAGATAACCACCACACTGACAGAAAAAAAAAAACTGTGATATAACAATATATTGACCTAATCATTTTTTGCCAATTTAGTTCTTTATAAGTTTGGTTATTTAAGTGCCTAACTTTTTCAGGAACATAAGCAAACAGTCTTCATTGTCAGTCTTCACCAGCCATTGTTCATTCCACAATCACCATTAGAGGGCTTCACATTGACAATCAATAATTTTAAGTAGTTTATTATATTGTCCTCATATTTCACTGTAAGAGAAGCATGATTACATGGGTCCAACAAATAATGTATACCAGCATTGATTAATTACTCTGATTAGTCCATAATGTGTAATATTTATTAGAATACTAACTTGCATAAGAATCAGAACCAAAATATAACACTAGGATTTAAAACATTTGATATGTATTTCAGTCTCTACAATTTCTAAAAATATTTGCAAACAATCAACAAATAGAAATTTGCGAAAGGATATGGCTGTTATCTCATTAAAACAAAACATCATTAAAACTAAACCATTGTTAGAATGTTACAATGATTTAACTCGGGAGTTGGCCTTTTCTCATATTTTCAAGATAAACTAGAAAAGCACTTGGAGAGCACAGATCACCGCCAAGCAGCAAATTTGTGCAACATTGTGACTTAAAACTTCCATTAAAACAGTTAATTGGTTTTCAACTGATCCTGCTAACAAAACCAAAAATATTCCTTTTACTTGTGTTTTTGTCTACAGCAAAATACTTCAGGACTTTTTGAGTCCAATGCTGAGGCTGTCGATAGTCACTGATAATTTTACAATTATTTTGTACAAAGAAAGACAAACAGACATGTAGACAGAGAAACACACATACAGTACAAACTCTCCCAAAGGCATAACTTCCTTGTCGGAGGTAATAAACAGAAAGAATGTAACATTCACCGACTCTTGTGTCTGATCCACTGTTTCTGTAACAGTTCATTTACACATTGATATTTTTGCAGATAAGGTTTTCCACTGCATTCTGGACTAATAATAAATAGGTTTTAATAACTACTTTCCAAAATGAAGATCGTAAAAATTCTAGTATGACCCATTAAACCTCGAATGCAAGGTAAGAAAGCCTTATTCAGTAAAGCAGAATACCTGCTCCGGTGAGGGTTGTTTCTTAGATAAAATTACCAACTTTTAAGCAGCTAGTACGGTAGTCATTTTTTTCCCATTAAGCCCATTTCTGTATTACTTTTTGTATGCAATGTGCAAATAATGAATGTTGTATTTCATTTGCGAGTATACAGATATACTGGGAAACATCTAATCTATATTATGTGTTCTATTTAGGGGACTAGAGAAAGAAATAAAATATTAATAACATACTAAATTATTAAACCTCTTTATATGAACCTTCTTTGTTTGAAGAGAATCAAAACAAATGTCAATCCTAATTATGTCAATCATATAATGCCTCATCAGAGCACACAAGGTCACCAAGGACAGCTCAAAGTCTTGCTTTGACTGTTCGACCCGTTCCTTTTAGGAGGCGCTACAGGAACATCAATTAAAAAACAGTATACTGATGAACAAATTCTTTTCAAAGGCCAAAACCACTCGAAAGGCACAAAAACAACGCCCCCAATGGGCTGTTCTTTTACCAACCACAGAGAAATAAATACATATTTATTTTTGCATTATACACATTGTGCAATAACAGTCATCTTAGCAATGCATTTACCTCCCTCAAGAAAGTAATGTTTTCCATAAAGTTGGTGTCTTTGTTTGTTTGTTGGTTGGTTTGTTTGTTGGCAAGATTATGGAAAAATGTCATGGACAGATTGCTCTGAAATTTTTACCACATGTCTGTCTCTAAGCCAATCTCGGAACCCATAACATTTTAGTGGTACTCCGGATCACTATTTGAATTTAAACATATTTTTTAAAGTATTCCTTTACATTGTGAGATAATTTTCTTCAAGTTCTTTTGCAGTTTATATAATTTGACTTTTGGCAAAATGTAAGGGTACTAATTGGGATTTTTTTTGGAATTTCATTTTATTTTAAACTCATCATTCGACAAATATTTTTAATCTAAATTTTTTTTTCAGTTTCACTCTCATTTTTACTTCTGATATTGCTCAGTTTATCATACAGTTTGGTTACTTTTACCCTGTTAATCATTGCTTCCAGTCAGATTTTTTTCCTGTTCTCCAAAAACCCAGAGACTAAACTTTTGTTTTACGCATCACATAAAATGTATCTCTTTCTGTTGATGCCAAACTAACTTTCAAAGTGGAGTAGCAATACACCAAAAACTCTTGACGAGGGAAGGAAAAACATGTTAGCAGTCATGAAATGTGATCCCATTGTCAGCTGGGAATGTAGTCAAATGTGGTTGAGGATTAGTGCTGAGTTCCAGGTTTTGGTCAGAAAAAGTAAATGTTTCCTCCCTTAATGATTAAAAGGTACTTTAACAACATCCTATGAATAAACCAGCAATTACCTGTTTAATTCAACACAGAGCCTGATCTCATGCAGAGACAAGAGATATTATAGGTATGTTGTAAGGAATTGTGTTGAATAGAATTTTAACATATTTACCAAAGTCAGTGCAGGAAGGATCGTCCTCCTCTTCCTCCTCATTCAGGCCAAAAATCAACGGCTCCTCAAGGTCCTCAGCAAAGAAGTTGAGAGCCTTTTGGTAGAACAACAACCGCGTTACACAGAAAACCCTCTAGCTTCTAACATACCCAAAAACTCAAGCCGAGGCTAAGCACAAAAACACAAGTGTTTGGCGATTGCCAGGCCGTGTGAGTGAAATCAATTAGTTAACCATCTGTAGCACATAAACCTAGTTCCATTGGATGACCAGAGTCATGTGCCACACCTGTCAAAACATTAAACACACATTCAACCTGCTCAACAAAGCCTGTTTTTCTTTACTGGGAACATGGTGTTAACTCCAACACCTCAACAATAAGAGAAGCAATAAAGAACGTAGAGGCACAGTCACTTTGCTGCAAAGCTACTGCAAAAGAGAAGAATTTATTGGTATGACCAATATACAACAGCACTGTGAAGGAATATTTCTCTTCTCATAGATTACTCAAGTTTTCTATTTCTATTTTGCTGATTGGTAAAGCAAAGGTGGAACTACTGGTGGAGCAAGCTTTACATTAATTGTGGAATAAAATTAACATTTCTAAAAAAAAAACATTATACCAACAAGGTGGTGATTATTTGGCTGCTTTTGAACCTGAATGATTTTCTTTAATAAATTAAACAATGACCTCTCCACTTCTGCAACAAATCTTAAAGGAAAATGTGCATGGCCTCTATGTCATGTGCACTTGGGTTATGTTAACAACATTTACTTCAAGCACACCGACACACCAACTCTTTAAGAGGTTCAAAAAATCCAAATAAAGGTTTCTTGATAGTCTAGTCAAAGTATGAACTTTTCTTAGAACAATTCTTCAGGTTTATTTGCTATGGCATTACCATAAACAGGCCATTCGTGCTACAGTGTGGGTGAACTGAATCAACTCTGCAAAGAAAACAGCCAAAATTCATCCACAGTGAGGTTCTACTGCCAATTCAAAAAAACTCAATGTCAGTTGCTAATACCAAGAGTGGCACAATCACTTGGGTTAGCAGACATAGTGGATTAGGTTTTTCACATAGGGCCAAGTTGGTTTGGATAGTATTCTTTCCTTAATAAAAAAGTCATTATTTGCAGACTGCTTTTTGTAATAACTCTTACTTTGATCTCTATGA